ACTTTTAACAAATCAAATTCTTAAGGACTTCAGACAAACGGATCAATAAACAAGGTATCACATATACTCCCAAACTAAGGCAAAGTTTTCTCCCAAAAGTAGCCCTTAAAGACACTCACCTTGTATTTGAGGCATTACAGTGTTTCACGATGTACTAAAGGCTGTCCGTAATCTGAAAAGAATACAAGTTATTGTTTTGTGGAAACATATTAGTGGCCTTAAACAACCTTAAGCAATGCTAATATTGCTGCTGGTAGGATAAATTGTAAAGGAGGCTCATCAGCAGTCACAGTCTCTAGGATTATAAAGCTACAATTACAAGTATTTGGTGTCATTGGAAACAAGCCTGTTAAAAATTGAAAGCAATGCTCTGTAGATTCTGAAAACCAGCTGCTCTGGTGCCACTCATGCACAGGCATGCTTGTGGCTTGAGATAAATGTCCATCAACCACAGCATACGTAGACCCCAAAACTGCTGCATCCCAAACTACTTAGAAAAAAGATCATCTGCTCTTAATGTATTAGAGGATGCCCAAGTGGGCACCAGGGTCAAATATGAAGTCTGAGTGACATTCCTGAAATGTGAATGTGAAGAAGGGAAGCCCATATCCTGGTTAATAGATTAACAAATCTGAAACACCTTTAACGAACAATAAAGGTGTATATTTTATCCTCTCATCTACAATCCTCAAAGTTATAGATATAAGTTGGGTGAAAAGGTTTTACGTGATCTTCACATTGGAAGGTGAGGGGTTGGGTGTCTATGTAACTACTTTATAGACATACTAAAGCTATAAACACTGCCATGAAACAATTTTTTTTAAAGTGACTGCCCTAATTCATCTGAATAAAATACCATTAAAACACAAGATGGCCAGGCACGGTGACTCACGCCTATAATCCCAGCACTTTGGAAGGCCGAGGTGGGCGGATCACCTGAGGTTGGGAGTTTGAGACCAGCCTAATCAACATGGTGAAACCCTGTCTCTACTAAAAATACAAAATAGCCGGGCGTGGTGGCGCACACCTGTAATCCCAGCTACTCAGGAGGCTGAGGTAGGAGAATCGCTTGACCTGGGAGGCGGGGGTTGCAGTGAGCTGAGATCACGCCATTGCACTCCAGCCTGGGCAACAAGAGCAAAACTCAATCTGGAAAAAAAAATCCACAAGATTACTTTCTCACAGGTGATTTTTGATACCAATTCACTGATTTAGAAGCAGTTACCATCCGATTATGTGAGATCTAGTATCCACTCATTCAAATCTCTTTTATCAGAATGTTAAGATTCCCCCACAAAACATGAAGTTCGTATTCCTCAAACCTTTTAGAAAAATAAAACTTTTAGGTGATCCTCTCACCTCAGCCTCCCAAAAAGCTGAGATTACAAGTATGAGTTATTGCACCCAGCCACAAAAATAAAACTTTTAAAGAAATGTAAACCATATTGAGGTACTTGAATATACACCAAGAGAGAAAGGTGTTGATGGTGGAGAATTTGATCACAAATTAATTCAGCTCTTTCTGAAGATGAATTTGATTGTGTATAATGAAGAGGCAGGTAAGTGTTTATGCCCTGTGACCCAGTAATTCTACTTCTAGGTTTCAGCAACTAAACAGTGGAATAATTACATCATTGTCATAATCCATTCAATGAGTTATGCAGCTATCTTTAAATGGCAAATACTAAAACTACATTTAAGTTCTTTGTAATACATATAAGACTGGAGAATATTTTAAAATAGCTACTATAATGACATGGCAAAAATTGCAAGTGAGTCTTTTCCAAAACTTTTGACAATATTGCCTTGGCACTACTTTTATAGTATAAGAAGAAAGTTTTAACCTTCCAATCCTGGGTGTAGAAGCATAGAAGAAAATATAAGATAAACATTACAGATTTCTTTGTGTTATTGGGACAGGGTCTCATCCTGGCTCAGGCTAGAGTACAGTGGCAAGCATAGCTCACTGCAGCCTCAAGCTCCTGGTGCAAGCGATCCCCCAGCTTTGGCCACCTGAGTAGCGGCCACAGGTGTGCGTCACCACATCTGGCTTCAATTATTTTTGTAGAGATGGCAGTCTTGTTATGTTGTCCAGACTGGTCTTGAACTCCTGGCTTTAAGAAATCCTCCTGCCTCAGCCTCCTTAAGTACGGTGATTACAGGTGTAAGTCAGTACACAGGGCCCCATACCACAATGCTAACATGTTATTGACTGGGTCTGGAGGGGAAGACAACTTTGTATCTTTTAAATTGTTTGAACTCTTAATAGAAACTTTTTTTTTTAAATGATAGAATTTAAAGCATTTAAAGCACTCATGCCCTTACCATAAAATACCGTCACAAATTGGTGATTTGGCCCATACAAGTTAAAAAATACTTAGTATCTCCCATCTACCATAGTAAGTGCCCAAAACACAGCAGCAGGTTTTGCTGAGTCTGTTCTGGACTCCAGGCCATCTGTCTTGATGGTAGACATGGGTATCGCTGTTTGTGTAGCAACATGGGGCATATCCCAGCAAGGCTACAAACATGTGAGCAGAAAACTAATAACCACACTAGCAGTCTGTGTAAAACATCAAAACAAAGCCAATCTTGGTATTCTTTTTTATTTATTAAAAAAACTATTTCGGTGGTTAAATCCACTTTTCCTTCTAAGTAGCTTTTTGGGTCATTTCCAAAATTACCCATAAGAAGCCCTTTCTCCCAACAGAAAGGAAAGCATTTTACAGGAACACATTGATGGGCTCTGGGGTCCCAAGACATGCACCAGATATTGAGTGTTCAGAGAGAAGGGGCGACTCTAATTCTAGTCTTGGAGTACAAAGGGGTCAGTGAGTAAGAAGTATCCAAAGAAGCTGAAGCATTCATTGTTTTCTCGCTCTTATCTAAGGTCTCTGAGAGGTACGTTTATAGATTTGAAAAGATGCAAGGAAGCTGTGTGGAACAAACGCCTCCAAAGGATCTCAAACACAAGGTCATCCTAGGATCCCCGGTAGGAAACGCCGGGAGACTAGGGTCTAGGGGTCAAAGGTCGCTCGAGTTGCTTCTTATCTGATGAAAGGGAAGAATCGCTTGTTCCTTTAAGATAACTGAGAATAAGTTAAGCAAACTTAAGAACTATTTCTTAAATTATAAACAGTAAGCAATTGTTTTAAAACTCAATTATCTACCCAAATATTCATAGCATTATTCATAATAGCTTAAAAAGTGCACGGAAAAACTTAAATGTCCCTCAGTGGATGAATGGATAAAGAAAATACAGTATTATCCTTACAATGCAATATTATTTAGCAATAAAAAAACGTACTGATATATGCTAAAACATGGATGAACCTTGAAAATGGATTGCTAGTACAAGAAGCCAGTACAAGGCCGCATTCCAGTTATATAAAATGCCCAGAAGGGGCAAACCCAGGGACACACATACACTATTGGTTGCCTAGGGTGAGAAGGGTTTATATAATATGGTTTCTTTCTGGGATGTTGAAATGGCTCAAGATTATAGTGATGGTTGCAAAACTCTTTAATATATTGAAAACCACAGAACTATAAATAAATTTTATGGTATGTAAACTGTATCTCAATAAACTCTCAGAAAAAGAATTCATTACTAGCTGTCTGTTTTAAAAAATAAAATCTTCCTGCCTCTCAAGAGTAGCTGGAAAGAAAAATAAAATTTACAAACGCAAGACTAATATTTAGTGGAGGAAAAAGCTATAATAATGTAACTATTAAACAATACACTTACCTAAAAGTTCTCCAGTTAAGAGTCAAATTAGATGTCAAATCCAGTTATGCCTTCAAAAAATTTCACGCTTTGACCTAACAGTTCAAAACTCCAAATGCATAGCATTTTATTATTAAGCATGTAACATAAATGCCTTTTAATCCTTGATAGCTGTTATCAAATATTTCCATGATTAATCTGTGAAATTGGAAGTCTCACTTTCTAGTGATTTTACATGTAGTACATTCTGAGGTCACTGGAAAAAAGTTAACCTGTACGTATCTATATGGTCATTGCATCAGAAACATTTATTTTTATAAATGACAGGATTTAAAGTATTTTCAGAACATACTCATGTCCTTGCCATAAAATACCATCACAAATTGGTGATTTGGCCTAACTTTAATTTAAAAAGTTAACCTGGATGTATCTATATGGTAACTGCATCAGAGGGTTTAGAGTAGCTCTTCTGAAGGCTCAACCTAGGAAGGTCTAAAAAAAGGATGTAACAAGCAAGTGCTCTTCAGAAAACTGCGTTGGTTTAAATCAGTCTGACTAGTGGGCCTCAGCTGGATTCAAATAGCCAGTGGCACCTGGCACATAACGAGTAAAGCTAAAGGGGCATAGCCCAGGAACCTGTATATTAGACAATCTCCCTAGATGCTGACATTGCCAGGTCAGGGAATTGTGTTCCTGGGAACTACACTTAGCTCACTAACAGGAGGGCAATCAAAATAAGGGAGGGGCTACTCTTCACTGGTTACATCATCTTTAAATTCTTAATTTCCGACAGATCTAGCATCTTACAGAAAAACTAGAAGTGGTAATTGTTGAGGCAGTGTCAAAATATCTTAACCGTGATGAACAGGAGATGAATACACCAAACGTGTTTTACGTTCTGCTGGGATAGTAAAGAAGACTTTTCAATCAGGAGTACATATTTGAAAGTCCTTAAAATGTAATCTTTGGTCGCTAGTCAAGAGAATGATTGAGTCTTAGGAGGAATATTTAAATTGAATCTAATTAAATACAAATGTCACATACTTCCACCTTCCCAGAAATGGTCAGCTCATCTTAATTAAGGAAATGGAACCTAAGGATGACTTAAGTCTTATTCTGTGGAATGTGTTTAGACAAGTTTAGGCAAACAGTGAAAACTGACAAGTCCCCACCACCATACCTACAACATTCTGAAAATGCTTGAAATTAACTCCATTCTTTGTCTAGCGGTTCAATATGAACTGCCAAAATTTAGTCCAATTAGTCAGTTCCAAATAATGTAGGCTCTTCGGAATCTAGAACCATGGAGTGCTGACAGTTCTCCTTGGACAGTGGACGAGGACACGCACGATCTCCTCTTTCAAACTCTTTCAGTTGGCTTGGGAAACTCTGGTTTCAGATCCATGGAAGTTCAACATGGTAGTCACCAACTCTGGAAGGTCAAAACCGTGTTTCCACCCCCAGTCCTTCCGAGCATTGCTGTCATCAAAGTTCATCGGCCAACTATCCGCTAGGAAAACAGACGGAAGAGTAGCTTCAGTTATTCGGGTTGTGGATTTGCAAAAAGGTCTTGACCATTTTACATAAAGGTCTATCGTCCAAGGTATGAAACAGGAAATTCCTTCGAGTAAAGCAGAACCGCTGTGATGCACAGTCACCCTCTTAGGGCAGAAGACTGTTAACCCATCTTTTGTCAGGCACTGTGAATTTTCACTCATTATTAAAATCTCACACAACCCCATGAGGTTTTATACTCAAAGAGGTGCTTCCACCCACAAATTGGCAACGTTATAGTATTTGAAAACTCAGGCCATCTTCATACTACCTCTATTGCTTCTATTTTTCCTTGCTTTATGTTTAAACTATAAAAAATGATTAAAGGCTAACAAGCTGTTTATTTGGAATTAAATTATTTCACCCACTTTAGATATCATTCCCCCCAAAATCAAAACATCTGCTAGCTTGGGCTCAACAATTTCTCAAGCTCGGCTTCTTGTCCAAAACGTGCCTGGACCCTGGGGAAGGATCTAGGCTCTCCTTATCCTTCCAAGGTTTATGTCTTCCAGGAACTCACAGTAAAGGCCAGGTACCAACCTATGGCCTGCCGGATGGCATCCACGTTGTATGTGATCTGGAACTCTGGCACATGCTTGAGGACCTCCTGGGCCAGCTCCTCGGGTGTGAAGCTCATGGCACTGACGTTGTAGGTCCTCATGGAGAGGGACTCGGTGGGGGCCTCCATGACCTCCAGGGTGGCCCTGAGACAGTCATCAATATACATCATCGGCAGCCTCGTGTGGGCTTCCAGGTTGCACTCGAATTTGCCATGCTTTATGGCATCATGAAAAATCTGGACAGCATAGTCTGAAAGGGAATCCCATGTGTGGGTCAGAACAAAGCAATGAACGAGCCTCTTGGATCACGGCAGCAGTTCTCAAGTGTTCCAGTCTCAGAGCCTTTTTCACACCAGATTCTTAAAAACTGACAACTCCAGCCAAGCGCAATGACTCACGCCTGTAGTCCCAGCGCTTTGGGAGGCCGAGGTGGGCGGATCACGATGTCAGGAGATTCAGACCATCCTGGCCAACATGGTGAAACTCCATCTTTACTAAAATACAAAAAAATTAGCCAGGTGTGGTGGCATGTACCTCTAGTCCCAGCTATTCGGGAGGCTTAGGCAGGGGAATCACTGGAACCCAGGAAACAGGGGTTGCAGTGAGCCAAGATCACACCATTACGACAGAGCAAGACTTTCAAAAAAAAAAAGACAGAAATTTCATTTATCACAAAGACAAATCCTCTTAGCAATAAGTCAGTCTATTTTTGTTTGTTTGTTTTTTTGAGACAGGGTCTCACTCTGTCACCCTGGAGTGACTCACTGGAGTGCAGTGGCACGATCTTGGCCTTGGCCTTCTGTGTTCAAGAGACCCTCCTGCCTCAGCCTCCAAGTAGCTCAGACTACAAGTGCAGGCCATCATGCCTGGCTAATTTTTGTTTATTTTTTGTAGAGACAAGGTCTCACTTGTCTCGAACTCCTGCCTCAGCCTCCCAAAGTGCTGGGATTACAAGCATGAGCCACCGCACCTGGCCCGAAAGCCTATCCAATATCTAAGAGACATAAGAAATAGAAAACAACACTTAACCGGTTGTTCCTCCTCCAGGCTGGGAGTCAGCTGAAATGATTCCAGGATATCTCAGGCATCGGAAATCTAACCCATACCGGTAATGATAATACTATAAGAAAGAGAAAATGTATTCAAACACAGATATTTTAAATCAGATAGATGGAAAAAAAGAAAAAAAAAAAAAACCTGCCTTTCTCTGAAATGTCATTCCATGCAGTTATATTTAAATACTCCTAAAGAAAATAAAGACTCCTAAGTTTTTATCTTTAAGAAAACATCAACTTTTTGGTGATACATCAATGCTGTAAATAACACATTAGCCTACAGTGGGGATTTCCATCCTCTCTTTGGAAAGGCACCACTGATCATCATTCCTAAACGATTCCGCATGAGTGCATTCCCACACGCGGGCGGGGGGAGAGCAGAGGAGAGAACAGCGGATGAGAGGGCGATGGCTATGGCAGGGCTGGAGGAGAGGCAGCAACGAAATCTACAAGAGTTAGAAAGATAAAGAGTATTTTACAGTAGTTCACACCTATAATCCCAGCACTTTGGGATGCTGAAGTGGGTGAATCACTTGAGGTCAGAAGTTTGAGACCTGCCTGGCCAACATGGCAAAACGCTACCTCTACTAAAAATACAAAATTTAGCTGGGCATGGTAGTATGTGCCCATAACCCCAGCTACTTGGGAGGCTAAGGCACGAGAATCCCTTGAAGCCAGGAGGTGGAGGTTGCCATAGGCTGAGAGCAGGCCTCTGCACTCCAGTCTGGGTGACAGAGCAAGACTCTGTCTCAAAAAACAAAACCCAGTAAGATGTTTGAACTTTTCTGTAACTTTTAGAGTTACTAGCAATGGCTGCCAATACTGGAAGCCAGAATGGCGGGGTGCAAGTACAACAAGCAGCAACTGAAGAGGGGGGGGCTGTGCTCAGGGCACCCAGGAAATGCTGAGTGTTCCCATACAGCTGTGCAAAGGTGGCCCTGCCAGGGCTGAGGAGGTTGCAGGAGCTGGAGACACCTGCCACATGGCAAACCCAGTGAGTTAAGTAAACGACTCTGGGGCTGGAAGCCAGGGAGAGGTCAAGTTCCCCCAAGGATGAATCAACAGGCGTTGGAGGCAGAAAGAATGAAAAAGTAAACAACAAATCGTGCAGCCCAGGCCACATTCAGCAATCTTGCTGAGTGATGCTTACTTCTCCCATGAGCTCTGCGTGGACCTTGGATACCCCGTAGATGGTCCTGGGTCTCTGAATACAGAGATCGGGGGTTGGGTTTCGGGGAGAGGTGGGTCCAAAAGCTCCGATCGTGCTAGGTACAAACAATCGCAGGTTGTGTTCCGCAGCAACGTCCAGGATGTTATGCAGGCCTGAAATGAACAGACACAATCAGAATCTGAAAACATCTCTTCTTAAAGAACTAGAAAAGCTGGCAAACAAATCACATCCAGCCAGCGCCAGACGCTTACCTGTTATATTCACGGCTCTCGCCAGGGAAACGTTTGCTTCCCCAACGGCGCTGAGCAAAGCGCTATAATGAAACAGCCAGGTGATGCGGTTGTTTACCACGATCTCCCGAAGATTCTTGTAATCCAAGATATCAGAATAAATGAATGGACCTGCAAGGAACATACACTGAAACCATGAAAGTGAAAAGGGTGGTGGTTTGAAGAACTAAATGGACCTTTCCCCTTTCCCCCGTTGACTTGTGAATTTCCCTGGTAGCCGGGCGGTAACTAAGCCAGCTGGGCACTAGGCAGCGCTTTTCTTATACAAGAATCACAAGTCATAACCACACCCCAAGGTAATGACAGCAAATGATCCTACAGGACCTACCTGGGCCAGGCCCTGTTCTGAGGACTTTACGTACATTTCTCTCCCACACAGCCTTGGAGGTAAACACATTTTACTGATGAGGAAACAGGCACAGAGAGGTTAAGCAACTTGCCAGGATCAGAGAATAAGAGGAGGAATTAGGGTTGCAGCTAGGCATCGGGCTCCAGAGTGGGCGCTGTTCCTCCCAGCCCTGTATGCACAGAGTGACTTCCCTCTGCCTCCAAGGTGCACATTTGAAAAGGAACAGAGAAATGCGCTTATTAACCACCACCACCACCACCACCCTCGTATAGAAGAGCCAAAATCATGAGTTCATCACACTTAATTACACAGAGGTAAAGCTCATCTTGTTCTGTGCCAATTTTCGCCACTTACAGCAAACTGTCACTTTTCCCCATGGTGAGCAGCAAAAGGCTGACGCTGAACCAGGAAAAAGCAGGGGGCATTACAAAACCTTATTTTAGGGGCAGCGGGAACAGAGCCTCGCTGTCGCTCAGGTTGGAGTGCAGTGATACAATCACTCACTAGAGCCTCCATCTCCTGGGCTCACATGGTCCTCCCAAGTAGGTAGGACTACAGGCACCTGCCACCATGCCCAGCTCATTTTTTATTTCTTGTGGACAGGATCTCACTATATTGCCCAGGGTAGTCTTGAACTCCTGGGCCCAAGTGATCCTCCTAACCTCAGCCTCCCAAATTGCTGGGATTACAGGTGTGAGCCACCATGCCTGGTCACAAAAACATTTCTGAAGCAGTAAGAACACCTGACTAAACGAGCTTGAGTTTGTGTGTGTGTATGTATGTGTGTCATAGTTTAACAGCAATTCTACACTGTAACATCAGGATTAATTTCTCCAAATTTTTTTCTTTTTTTTTTTTTTTGTCATATCCCCCTTACTTCTGCAAATTTCTCCAAATTTCTAAAGTTCCTTTTCTTCAATACAGAACTTAGTTTTTGTTTGTATTCTCTCCGAGTCAGTAAGTTAACTTTAAACACAAAAAAGACAGGAAACAAAGTTTTTATTTCAAATAACATCAAAAGATATTATTCCGAAAACTTTAAGGTCAAAAGAACTCTTCTGTTCTTTTATCACTTGAACAAGCAGCAGCATTAAAAAATATTTAAGTGAAATACCAGTGCCTCGATAACTTCTCTTTGAGTCATAAACTGGGCTATGAGCTGTTGCACCCACCAACTGCATGAGCCACCTCTTTGTGCTGTGAACATTAAACATAAAAATAAAAGCAAGGCCTACTAATCTCTTACCGCTGTGAAAGACACGATCGGGGGGTTTCTTTATGTCAGACAAAATCACACTGTCCTTCCCGAATCGTTTCCTAAAGGGAAAATCAATACACACAAGTTGGCAACATTAAGATGCAATGAGTCCTGTGAAAAGTCTTTCAAAATAAGAACTGTAATTTTCCACCAGCCTCCAAGTCTCTACTTCCCCTTCCTCCTCAACTCCCCACCTTCAGCTCTTGCCTCTCACACTCGGGCTTCTATTTCCCTGCCCATGGCTCTGTCTTCTATGTCTCCTCTCGCCTGACTGTTAATCCTGTTTGTCTCCAATTTCTTCCCCTTACGCTCTAGAGTTTTTTACATCTTCCTTCTCATTCTTCTCTCCCCTCTTCTTATTCTCTTATCCCATTCCCTCCAAATCCCACACGGTTCCCTTCCAGTTTGTGCCTGTACTTCCCTTGGCTCCCAAACAACTAAAAGTCAAAGTGCTTCTTTGGGAGCTGTGTGTCTCATTTTGCCTAAGTTAGGAAACAGAGAGAGAGGAGAGCAAAGGACCAGTCTGGAGATGTTGAGTCAAGGGCTTGCAACACGTCTGTGATATTCAGAGGCAAAATAAAATGTGTTTAAGGCTGGGCACAGTGGCTCATGTCTGCAATCCCAGGACTTTGAGAAGGTGAGGTGGACATATTGCCTGAGGTCCAGCCAGCCTGGGCAACACAGCAAGAACCTGTCTCTGCCAAAACTACAAAAAATTATCCAGACGTGGTGGCATGTGCCTATAGTCCTAGCTATTTGGGAGGCTAAGGCATGAGAATCGCTTGAACCCAGGAGGTGGAGGTTACAGTGAGCTGAGATTGCACCACTGCACTCCAGCCTGGGTGACAGAGCGAGGCTCCATCTCAAACAAGTATATAATATTTTAAGCAGTTATTTAGATATATCTTAATGCTAAGGAGCAAGATGAGAGAGAAAAGTAGTTTAAAAGACATTACAGATGAGCTCCACATATTTAAGAACTCAGATTTTAAATTTCAAGTTTTTAGAGTTCTTACCTCAAAAGATTAGCAAGCCCCACTCCCAGCTGGCCAAGACCCCCTAGGTGAAAAAGAAAAAAAAAAAAGTGAAGCTTTAATGCACATCTAACCAGTTCGATTATTATTCCCAGAATGCAATAACTAGTTTTCAGTCTTAGCTAACTAGGCAAATCCTAGGTTGAGCTGATGTAACTCCTGCTTATTTCAAATCTTCCCAGGAATATGGTGCAGCACTTGGAAATGCAATGACCTCCCCAGGCTAGGACAGAGATCAATACAGGTAATATTGGTTTCAGAGACAACACTCTCGCCAGCATGGGGTGGTTCAGAGAAAGAGGAGAAGCAAGGGCACAAGAAGAAGAAAATCTCTTGAGAGCCAGACACAAGTCTGGAATTTCTTGGGGCAGGAACTCACCCCTGGCCTTCATTATTTTGATAAGCTCTGAAGCTTGTCTGCTATGGGTGACAAAATCATTCAAAACCAATATAAACAGATTAATAGCCACCTCTGGTGAGATGAGCCAGAATCCCATTTTCTATTAGAACTGGACTGGGATATGAAAGGGCAAAGAGGGTGGGAGAAACCAAGCAGCCATTTGGAAAAAAAAATGTAGATAACTGCAAGGTGGCACTGGGAAATTACACTGAATAGTACAGCTTCTAATTTGAAGGCTTAAACATGCCATTGACAGAAATGGGACGGAAGTGGGCTAGGAGCACATTTGGAAAAGGACAACAGTCCATTTCATTTGGGAGAAATAGGTGAGGCAGGAAGATATAAAAGTGGGATTTCCTGTAAGCATTTATTAACTTGGTAATAAAACCAGGACACCCTGAAATATACATTATTAGTGGAGGTGAGAGGGAATAAAACAAACACTTGGACAACATGATGGGTAAATCAGAAGAAAGGCATGGAGGGAAATCGAAGCTTGAAACTTACTTCAGCATCAGAAGCAGAGAAGGTGGTAAAAGAAGCAGAGGTGTGTGCGCGTGCGCACACGCACGCGCACACACACACACACACACACGAGGTTAATGCTGTAAAACCAAGGGAAAAAAGCCTGGCAAGAAAGAGAAATAAAACATGTCCATCAAACTGGAGGTAGGCTTGGGCTGGCTGGAAGTGACAGAGTAAAGTGTGGAATGAGAAGGACACGGAATCAGGTGCTGAACATATTGCGGTATGGATGTTGAGGGCGCAAGTCACTGGCAACGATGAGCTCAATGGCGATGATGAGCTCAAGGGCCGTGATGAGCTCGATGACAACGGTGAGTGCCATGGGAACAAGTCCCTTGGCCAGACGCTAAACTTAACTTCTCTATTTTCAACATGCAAATGTGCAATAACAGTTTGGGATTAACGACTCTGAGTTTAGGTTGAGGAATCTGGCCAGGGAAAGGCATGCCTAACACCAGAATTAATGTTCTAGCCCCAGCACCTTCCTGTAACCAGCCTTCGCTCCCCATACTGATCCTAATATGGAAGGGAACCAAGTTCCAGAGAAGCTATCTAGGGTTCCTAGATTCCTTCAGAAAACAAAAAAAATTATGACAGGGAAAACCAAGTGCTGGCAACAGTGGAAAAGGCAGTGTCTGATCAATAAGATCAGCTGCCCTAATTTAAAACTTTGTATAATAAAATACCTAATTCCGAAATCCTTTTAATAGTGCAGACAATAAATCCAGATTCTGTCATCTGGCCAAGCCTGTTTTTGCTGCATTACTGGCTACAGGGACAGGCAGTGTAATTCAGATAGCATATTACACATTCCAAAAACAAAGGCACAGCCACATAGCATAGGAAAGAAAGTAAGAATCAAGCCATGGAAATAAAAAAAAAAAAAAAAAAAAAAAAAAAAAGAAAAGAAAAGAAAATCCAACCTGTAATTAAGACCCGTGGATGGTCTGTGTCAGAGAAAGAGGCAGAGTGGAAGTTAGCATCTGCTGGAATTTGCCGAGGGGAGACGCCCAGAAATCGGACCGGCAGGACGGACGTCCAGCAGACACACGCTGGGCTCTGCCCCACTCGCCTCAGCATCCTAATGAACGGCATTTTCTTTTCAAATACCTTGTGGGAAGAAAATGAGCAGAGTTAATGATGTGACCTTTTATCCCTCCAGCTCTTCAAAACAAACTCTTCAACTGAAATGAACACTAAGATTGCCAGCGAATGGGCAAAGCTGTGGTTTTAGATTCAGGAACGGAACGAAAGAGACTGCTGAGTTCGCCAATGGGAAGCCAGTCAAGGGCCTCCCGTGAGCCAGGCCCTGTGATAAAGGGATAAAGGGTTGCTCACACAAAGTCTGGCCAAACAAAGGCTGAACTGAGATTCAGAATTGACACCGCACAGCGCTGACACCAGCTGGGATCTAATGCAACAGAGGTGGTTACTGCACAGAGAACCTGCACATCACAGAGACAAAGTCGGTGGATCCTGGTGAAGGCTTTAAGTCTTGACTACAACTGTTATCAACTTGTCCACAATGTCTGAGGATACAAATAGGTCCCAGAACAAACACAAAGTGCCCTGTAAATCTTGTGTTAACACTCACATGCTGTCTTACAATGAACCAGCCTAGAAAAGCAGAGGTGTGAGACAAAAAGGCTCGCAGCAATATTTAGGAAGCTGTGAAGAGTTTTTGTTTTACCATCATCTCTGGAGAGAGGGTCATGTAGAAAAGCCATTTTCTTATAGTTTCAAAGATCACAAAATTTTTTGTTGTTTTTTATTTTATTACTACTATACTTTAAGTTCTGGGGCACATGTGCAGAAAGTGCGAGTTTTTTACATACGTATACACATCAAAAAGTGGCCAAAGGATATGAACAGATACTTTTCAAAAGAACACATAACTTAATTTAGTCTAGCTCCACCTCCTCGTCAGCTTTAGCTCCTGCTGATCATGAAATCAGTCTTTGCCTTGGGGGTCAAGATGGTCCAGTCACATACAGCTTGGGACTGCCATGGTCCTCAACCTGTCCCCAACGCCCAGGCAGGCACATCCTGAGAGCAAAGCAGAGCTGTCCAGCTTGCTTTGCTGGGTCTAACGGCAAACCACCCACCCTCCCTACAGGCAGGCCTATCGCATACTGCACACCAACCTGCGGCCTCTCCCCTCTCACCCGCTGGAACATCTTTTACAACAGAAAAGGCAGATGAGCTTCAAAGCCAACTCAGGTGTCCCATCCCCTCAATCATCTTCTATTTTGCATTATAAATGGAGAAAAGGTTCAAAACAAAACAAAACAAACCACACACACAGACATCATCTGTAAGATCCGAACTTACAGGACGGTACTCGGTGCCTCAAGTAGATTTAAGAAAGTGATTCCAAGTTAAATGCAAGAGGTAGCAGAAGCTTTCTTGCAATCCCTAATCATACCAAAACCCAAATTACAGGAAACAGAAGGAAAATAAGGTCCTTTCAAAATATACACCCTTTCTTGGTCATAAGGGTTATACTCTTTAGTACTCCAAAACCAGGTGGGTGGTAGCTGCCTGGTGGCTTCTGAGGGGTCAGTGACTGGACGCAACAGGTGTCCAGCATCTATAAAACACCTGAGGCCTTTTGGCCCAGCTAATGTTCTCAAGTAAGTGAGCAGAGGAGAACCTTCTCACCGTGGGTGCATCTCTGCTTTCACTGCACAGGCCTCAAGTGATGAGGGAGGTGTCTAGGATAGGCCACATTATGGGAAAGGCCTCAGCTTTTCCTCAAGCAGCCCTTAAAGGGACACTAAGTGTAGCCACTGCTGGCACCTGAAACCAGTTAAGAACTTAGATTCTTACAGTCACTTATTTCAGCAAGTGCAGAGGGATACTGAGGAAGCCCAGAGACAGTATTTCCTGGAACATTTGAAACTGAAAGACAATTCCCAAAAGCAAAATAATGAATGGCCATGGCTAAAAACGGTTTGTTCAAATTTACAATAAAAAAACAACCCTATCAAAAAGTGGGCAAAGTATATGAACAGATACTTGTCAAGACATTTATGCGGCCAACAAACATATGAAAAAATGCTCATCATCACTGGTCATTAGAGAAATGCAAATCAAAACCACACTGAGACACCATCTCACACCAGTTAGAATGGTGATCATTAAAAAATCTGGAGACAACAGATGCTGGAGAGGATGTGGAGAAATAGGAACACTTTACACTGTTGGTGGGAATGTAAATTAGTTCAACCATTGTGGAAGACAATATGGTGATTCCTCAAGAATCTAGAAATAGAAATACCATTTGACTCAGCAATCCCATTACTGGGTATATACCCAAAGGGATAGATCATTCTATTATAAAGACACATGCACATACATGTTCATTGCAGCAATGTTTACAATAGCAAAGACTTGGACAACCCAAATGCCCATCAATGATAAACTGGATAAAGAAAACATGGCACATATACACCATGGAATACTATGCAGCCATAAAAAAGGATGAGTTCATGTCCTTTGCAGGGACATGAAGCTGGAAACCACCATTCTCAGCAAACTGACACAAGAACAGAAAACCAAACACCGCATGTTCTCACTCATAAGTGAGTGTTGAACAATGAGAACACATGGACACAGGGAGGGGAACATCAGACACTGGGGCCTGTTGGGGGTTTGGGAGGCTAGGGGAGGGAGAGCAGGAGGTGGGGAGATTGGGGAGGGGTAACATTAGGAGAAATACCTAATGTAGGTGACTGGGGGGCGGGGGATGGTGGATGCAGCAAACCACTATGTCACGCGTATACCTATGTGACAATCCTGCATGATCTGCACATGTACTCCAGAACTTAAAGTATAATAATTTTTAAAAAAAATCAAGTACAGATGAACTCTAAAAAAAAAAAGGGGGGGATTTGTTTCGTTTTTTGTTTTAAAGATTGAAAAGACTAGAGCTGCAGGGGAAAGCAAATCCTGAAGATATGAAACAGGTACAACAATATTCATCTCATCTCCACAAAGGGAAAACATGAAGGAGGCACCGAACAAATTGTTAATTGAATGTGAAGTGTCAGTTCAACAACATGGACAGTTCGTAATGGAGTTGGTTCTTCCTACTCCACTGTGATTAGCAGGTAACATTTTTTGCCGTTTATATGCCACAAGCTGGTGAGTGCTTAACTGTACTATCCCAAGTACTACTGCCTGAGAAAACCTAGTTCTTAACCACCTCGCAGCAATACTGCCTGTTACAGGATCGCTTTAACAATACATAGGTATTAAAAACAAAAATAAAACGTAAAAAACCTCCAACCATCTACAGCATGTAGCTTTCCATCTTGCTCCTGCCAAGTTGAACTTAACACTCTTAAGACGGCACTTCTCTAATTTTTTGGTCTTAGAACTTCTTTATACTCTCAAAAATGGAGAACTCCAAAGAGCTACTGTTTATGTGGGTTATAGCTATTAATATTTAGCGTGTTAGATATCAAAACAAATAAATGTTTAGCATCTTTATTAATTGACTTAAAAACAATAAACACGTTAACAGACATCATTATTAAAGTAACTATATTTTCGGGAGGCTGAGGCGGAACTGCTTGAACCTGGGAGGTGGAGGTTGCAGTGAGACAACATGGTGCCACCACACTCGACTCCAGCCTGGGAGACATAGCAAGACTCCATCTCAAACAAACAAAAAAACCATATTTTCCAAAACAAAAAATATTTAGTGGAAGGAGTGCCATTATTTTAAACTGTATACTTCTCTTTGACCAAAAAAAAAAAAAAAAGACCTGGATTTTCACATCTGCTTCTGCAATTTGTTGCTGTAATTGAAAAAAAATCAAAACACAGCAAAGCAGTGAAAAGGAAACGGTATTTTATTCATTTTTCAAATAATTCTGGATATTCATCTTTGATACCACTCCAAAACTCAATGCATCAGTGTTCTTACAGGTTAGTTGCAATGAGGAATCTAAAAACTTATCAATAAATTTTTGAACTTTGGTACAATAAAACTTACTTGAATGCTTTAAATCAGTGGTCTCCAACCTTTTTGGCACCAGGGACCAGTTTTGTGGAAGACAATTTTCCACGGACTAGGAGGAAGCAGGATGGTTTTGGAATGATTCAAGCATGTTACATTTATTGTGCACTTTATTTCTATTATTATTGCATTGTAAGATATAGTAATTATACAACTCAACATAATCCAGAATCAGTGGGAGCCTGAGCATGTTTTCCTGTAACTAGACAGTCCCATCTAGTAGCAGATCATCAGGCATTAGATTCTCATAAGAAGCATGCAACCTAGATCCCTCCCACGTGCAGTTCACAATAGGGTTCACGCTTCTGTGAGACTCTAATGCCATAGCTTATCTGACAGGAGGCAGAGCTCAGGCAAGCAATGAGGAGCAGCTGTAAATACAGATGAAGCTTTGTTCAGTCACTGCGGCTCACCTCCCGCTGGGCGGCCTGGTTCCCGACAGGCCACGGGGCAAGCACTGCTTTAAATGGATCTTTTAGCCCTGCTTGACTCTGTACCTTCGTGCATTAGTCTTTTGGAAAATATTGGTTAAGTAATACACGTTGTCCAAAGATTAACACACTTCACTATATAATATTAAAAAGTCCTACTAGTTAATATCACCACTGATGTCATCAGAAAATTCCTTAGTATGGGGAAGCTGTCAAACTCATGGTGAAATTAATTAGCAACAAACACTGTTAGTTGTTTCCTTGAAGTGACAGGCTTTGTTCATGTTTTAGAATATACCAGACAATTTTCCATACCCATTGTTTGTCAGTCATTCTGTCAAGCAAAAATGGTTTTTCTATAAAGAAATGTGGCCAGTTCAGCTCACAATTCAATCATACACTGCTTTACCTGAAGACAACGATTATACTTTGAAACATGTAACAGAAGCGCTTTATGAGCACATCCCTGCATTATGCAGCATATCAGAGAGATGCACACTCATAAGTCAAGATTTAATCAGGACAATCATTTTTACTGTTTCATCAGGGACATTCTTAAATAAAGCTGGCAATTTTGTTTTTTATTGAAAGCATATGGCAGTGAAGAATACGTGATGATTACAACAGCTTGGTACCACTGCCTTGATTTGCAC